AATAATTAATATATATATATATAATTAGAGATAAAAAACGCACAATTTATATGTTTCTACTACGAACTATAATTTTTACACATATTGTTTATATTTACGTATTTTTTATCATATAGTAAATATATAAGTACACGGAGAGAATTTTCTTTTAAAATTTATCCTGAAAATATGGTAGTTGTAATACAATACAATATTTTAAAAATATTTACCATGCACGTTAGTAAAATTGATCAAACTTATTTTATACTTTATTGTAGTTTTATTAATGAATGAAAGAGATTTACATTACAATTCTTCGAAATACAATGTTGTGCCACAACTGTCATATTTTCAGAGTAAATTCTAAGAAAAAATTCTCTCCGTGTATGCGCTATATTTTGATCGCACAAAATTTTCCACAAGGGTTGCAACATCGTTCCATAAGTGTGGAAACACGAAGAACGTATTAGAGAAACAAAAATACGCTCTTCCGTTATTGCAATAAATTCGAAATAATTAAATCGAATCTGATAGATACAAAAAGGCAATATACTCGACAAACGATCAGTAATTAAATTCTCACGTGATACATAACTCGCGGTGATTTATAAACATGTAAAATACTTCGAGATGATAAGATATAATTTAAGTGGGCTTCTCAGAAGAAAAGATGAATGAGAACGTACCGCGCGTTTAACGTATGATCACCTTAATAAAGATTACTCCGGGGAAGATATCTTGCCGTGAGTAATTGCAAAAAGAGATCAAGGGGGAATAATATTCTGAGATATGAATAGATTAAATCATGACATTGAATTCAAATGGAGTGTCATTATCTCCGCTCCAGGGATATAAGACACATCGGGGGTGGAAGAGACGATTCGAGTGCAATTCGAATCCGGTCTCTTCATTGAGGAAAATTACTGTCTTCTCGTTAATTTGCGATGTGCGAAACGCGCATTGCGACAATAAGTAGCATCGTTAAACGTCTCGTGAATAAACATCCAATTTCGTTGTATTCAATCCCGAGTCGATCACAGCTGTGGGTTCATTCACGAGGATTCTTTCCACGTGTCTTTTATGGGAAAGATACAAGATGGAGAGAGAAGGAAAGTGGGACCCACAGAACAAATAAGGATGCCGCATAAATTTTGTCACAGATATACACCCTACGCCAATGTGGATTTCCACCCTTAAAGGTTGCCAGGCAACGCCGGGCTCTGACTGTGTCAAACTCCGAGCGCAACCCCCTCCTCCTCCCCCTTCTCT